TATTGAAGAGTGGAAGCTTTGTTTACTTAGGGGATAAGCTGAATGCGGATGGAGGATGTTTGAGCGCAGTTACGGCTAGAGTTCGTGTGGGATGGATGAAATTTAGGGAACTGGGTGGGGTATTGTGTGGAAAGAAATGGTCAGTGAAGATGAAAGGGAGGGTATATAAAGCATGTGTGAGAGCAGCGATGATATATGGTGGTGAAACTTGGGTGTTGAGGAGAGAGGAGGAAAGTGTACTGCAGAGGGCTGAAAGAGCTATGGTGAGGATGGTGTGTGGGGTTAAAGTGAAGGATAGGAGGAGTAGTACAGAGCTGATGTCAATGATGGGACTGAATGAGGACATTGTGACATTGATAAGGAGATCGAGATTGCGGTGGTATGGACATGTGTTGAGAAGGGATGAAAGGGTCGGGATTAGGCGAGCGTTGGAGTTCGAGGTTGAAGGAGTGGTAGGAAGGGGTCGTCCGCGATTGGGATGGAGAGAGCAGGTGGAGAAGGACAGGGTGAAAGCGGGGTTGCGTGATACTGAGGCGAGTGACAGATGTGGATGGAGTCGAGGGGTATTTCGGTTTCATTATAGGTAGCCAAGCGGCAACCCCCGATCTCGGGGAAAATGCCGTCTAAACGTGTGTGTGTGTGTGTATTATTAATTATTCTGTAGAAAAAATCTAAATATGACAGATGCAGTAACCGTTACAACATGCAGGTCAATGTCGTGAAATAATAATGAGATTATAATGGAGATAAAATAACGAAGTAAGAAGGTACAAACATGCATATTAATGTGTTCAACCAGCTGAAACATCAATCAATCAATCAATCAATCAATCAATCAATCAATCAATCAATCAATCAATCAATCAATCAATCAATCAATCAATCAATCAATCAATCAATCAATCAATCAACCAACCTAGGCACATTACAGAATGAAAGAACTGTTTTCAATGGCTCAGGATTAGCATAATATATCAATCTCATTATTGCCTGCAAACATTTGTGCCTAATCGACGGACCAGCCTGAAAATGTTTAGTTATGAATAATATCATAATAGCTAACTAGCTCTTTCTCTCTCTTCTCTCTCTCTCTCAATCTCTAATTTTTTTCTAAACAAAACTTGGCAGATACTAACAGATGAATTGTAGACTTCATAGAGGACAGCAAAGAGAGTTTTGATAAACGAGTCTCCAATTTGAGGTTCACTTTTTAACAACTCCCACCTACTGTCAATCATTCTCTTGGCTGGCGAAGGTGAGGATGAGGAGAGAGCTGTTTGTTTGCGTGTGTGTGTGTGTGTGTGTGTGTGTGTGTGTGTGTGTGTGTAGGTGAGTGAGATGATGATCGTAAATCAAACAATTCAAAAAGTAATCAATCAATCAATCAATCTATTTAACAATCTATCAGTCGTTAGACAATCAATTAGTCTATAAATTAATCAATCGATCCATCAATCAGCTTCCCAATTAGCTAATCAAAGAATCAATAAACCAGTCAGTCAAGCAATCAATCCCAGCAGTCACTCAACCAGCAATCCCTCCATCCATCCATCCATCCCACTTGACAAACCAACGGACCATTTTGAGAGGTAGTAGTGGAAGAAGAGCTCGCCTGTACCCTCCTCCTAACAAACCTCGCCGTGCCAGTGTCCTCATTAATCTGCTGCGACGTACCAAAGTCTACTGAATAATTCCCACCAAAAATGCACAGTGAAACCTCGCGCTCCCCGAACTGAAAGGCTGCCTAGAATTAGTGAATGATGATGGTCATCACCATCTTCAACAACAACATCATCATCAACATTTTCAACAACAACATCATCATCAACATCTTCACCAACAACAACATCATCGACGAAAGCGACCAAAATGAATGAATAAACAAATGAATGAATGAACGATAAAGCAGCAACAACAACGACAACAACAACAACAACAACCTCAATAATTCGACAGTCAGCTGGCGAGTAAGAGTGCCAAACGCCATGATCATCCCACCATTGCCAAACTACACCGTTGTCGGTCTGATGTTGATGGAATGAATGAATGAACAGATGAATGAATGAACAGATGAATGAATGAATGGACAAATGAATGAATGATAAATAAATAAAGGAAAAATAATTGAACCTGTGGTGCATTTTTTACGAGTAACTCATTAACTGAGAAGAGACCATCAGTTGGCAGGGTTGGCATCAATTCACTGTGAATGAATGGATTAGTGAACGGGAAAATGAATGAAAGAATGAAATAATGAATCAACGAATAAATGAAAGAACGAGTGAATGGGCGATAAAAAATTAAAATTTTTATGAAAAGAAACAAACTTGCTAGTTACTGTGAATGAATGAATGAATGAATGAGCAAAAGAACGGACGAACGGACAAATAAATGAGTAAATGAACGAATGAATAGTAAGAAACGATTAAATAAATGAATGATGCCAATTTTCAAGTACAGAGACAAAAGCATTGAAGAGTTAGACCGACGAACCCAATAAGGCAGACAATTTCATACAACTCTTGTGGTGTTCTTGGAATTAGCTGAAAAAATAAATATACAAATTCAAATATACAACAAAACAAATACAAACAAACATACAAACATCTTCATGTTACAAACAGGCAAACCAAACGTACACGCGCATATGCATAGAAAGAAAAAATCGTATCGTATCGTATTGTCTCGTTTACTCACTTCAATATTCTGAGATGCCCCATGACCAGAGCCACCGATCAGTAAATGGCATAATGTATCAGCTATATCTGCATTGTGGTGGGTGGGGTTGGTTAACGATTAAAAATAAATTATGATAATTAGTGACACCAATTAGATATGTGAAGAGGTGTCAACCGTAAATGTTGGCGACGGAAAATAGCGAATCTGTACAAAATAATGAACTCTTCAGCGAACAGCAGATCGCATATCAAGGAGTGCCTAACATTGGATTAATTAATTCATTATATTTAACTTTCTCCTAAGCTTTTAGGCATGCTAGTAAAATATACTTGGCCATAGTACGCCACAGTTTAAAATTGCACGTTCCAACCTCTGGATGCAGCACTTAAGAGCTATCAGAAGGTCAATGAACAAGGGGATGGTAACATTTAGTCAATCCACCAAGCTACCAACGGAGTAACGGTAACGAAAACGATGACAATAATAACAACGGACAACAGCAGAAGTAGTAGCTTACTTAGCTTGAGCAGCTGAACAGCTAAATCAGGGCAGCTGGTTGCCATGACGACCAGCATGTGGATGACGGTGACAAACATGTTGCTACTTATGATTGTGGGGCTGGCCATCATCTGAAATTGCCACCATCAAAATTACTTACAATTAATAGCATCTATCATCATCATCATCTTTGTGGTCGTCATCACCACTTTCTCATTAAATACAACTCAACCAACTAACCAACCAGCCAGCCAATCAACCATCCAACTAACTAGCCAATCAAATCACTCAATCAAGTAGCCAATCCAATTACTGACCAGTTGAATAATATATTCAAAGAACTTATCAGCTGCTAGGTCTCTCAGAATGTTCGTTTCTGACTGGTAGCTGTCGACCATTCGCGACAAACTTAAACATACACTGTCCAATGACTTTTTATCCTGTAAAATAATATCAATAATACATTTTAATAAATTAAATCCAGCTCTCTGATTGGCTAAACTTAATAACCAATAGCGACGTGGTGGCTTACAACACAAATGTTAATAACGATAGAAATTAAACCAACAAAGAAAATCGAGCTCACCGATTGGCTGAGCCTATTGACCAATACCGAAAGAGACGGTTTGATAAACATGAACTCCTCGACTGTAAGATTTTGGCAGCAGTTAGCTGTTATCGACAATGCCGTTCTTTGCGCAGTTATCGAGAAAAAATCCAGGAAGGTTAAACATGCCGACACGCCGTCCTAAGATTAGGACAAAATGCCGGTCACAGTGATGCAGTAAGTAGCAACAAGCAATGGATGTAATGAATAAATGATGATAATAATAATAATGGTTATCATTTTAATGTGAATTGAAATAATCAACAACTTACAGCGTGGAGTATGGCTTTATGATGCTTCCTGGATAGCATGTCGAGAGCCTGCAAGGACTGTTCTGCCACGTCCATGCATTGGATCGATTGCAGCTGTTTCAATGATTGGTTGGTTGGTTCATGAGTGATGATTGGCATGTGATCGATCAATTGGTTGGTTGGTGATGGATTGATTAATGGTTTTTATTAATTGACTGATGATGAATGGTTGAATGATGAGAAGCATAACCTAAGCAAATGATAAGACCCTAACTCCATCATCACCTTCATGATCATCATTAACACCACAATCATCATTTTCACCACCACCATCACCCTACTCACCTTCTCCAGAAAGGCTGGAACGACCTCAACGACAACACCAACAGACCTTGGCAGTGCCTCCATCATATAAGTCAGAGCTCGACAGGCATGGTGCATAAGATCGAAGTTACCAATTGGAGCATCGTGATTGGATGATGAGGCCATGGGCAGACCGCTGCTATTGGTTGGATTTCTAAGTAGGCCGGCTAGCGTGGGAACAGCTTGACGAATGGGAAAACCAGCTAGCGTATCTTCGTTGCCCATCACCAATATCTGCAACACATACCAAAACAAATGAATGAACGAACGAAATGAACGCAACAACACGTACAAAGACGAAAATTGAAAACACAACAGCAATGAACAAGAGGCAGACAGACCTGGCACATCTCGATGACACCTTGCAACTGCTGACTCGAATCTTTTGATTGTATGGCCTGTAGGTGCTGCTGAGCTTTATGGACTATAAATTAAAGTATATAACAACGATATCAATAACAAAAAGAAGACAGGAGGAAGAAGAAAAAAATTCCACATCTACCTGGGCCACCTGCCATAGATCTTTGAAGAAGTTGTTGCATTCTCGAACCCAAAGCCCCAAATAAATGAGTTGGCAGGCCCCTGGCTTCGAGCATCGCTATTGGTCGGTGTGTGAAGGGTGAGTTTATGTGAGGGCGAATTTTTATTGGTTGGTCGGTAACGTCTGAATTGGAACCGGTTGTTGATATTATTGTTGTTGTTGTGTGTGTGTGTGGATTTATGTTTGTGAGTGAATTGCTAATGTTTAATGTGCGGTACATGAGAAATTTATCATTATCACCTTCACCACCATTGTCATCATTCTTCACACCATCACCACCACCACCACCATCATCAGCATCATTATCAGCATCATCAGCGTCATTGTCACCTTGGAGCCTGCCAACATCATTTGATTCCTGATCCAGTGTTTGAATGAGCGATGCAAATGAAGAAGTTCCTAATAAAGATGAATGTATTTTATTCATTCATGTTACACACACGCACGCACACAGACACATATTTGGGTTCAGACTGTCGTATATAGAGTTAAGAAATATCACCGCATTTTCCGCATTGTTGAGTTCGTTACCAATTTTTCAAACAATATATATTGCTACTGTTGTTGAAAGATTAATTAATAATCTGTATAACATGTTGTGATGTTATATATCTTTATAAATTAATAAATACATATATATTTATAATTATATAGGATTAAGACTATCAGGAATGCAATTATTGATGAAAATCACAGCATGTTCGACGTTAGTTAACTTCCAATTAAACTTTTCGATTTTTCTAACGGTTGATCGTAAATTATTATCAAGTTTTTTGAGTTCAAAATCAAAATTTTTGTTTATTTTATGCATGATAGAAGAAAAAATCTTTTTTCGGTATTCCTATACGATCTTCAGTGCTCAAATTGTTGTACATGTGCTCAAATATATATATACACTGCGTCGCTACTCCACTTGTTGATTCCTTGCTTGTTCAAAGTGAATACTTAAACGCTCATCAAATTAGTTTTACAATCTTCAACTTCGCCAAATATAATCTTTTCTATGTGTTTTCATTATGGATAATTCCTCTGTTTCTAAATTTATCATTTACATACCATATTTGATTGATTGGTTGGTTACAGAAAAAAGTTTAAGCAAATCAAAAGACATGAACAAAAGCCACTAATGACCTAGAGCATTAGAAGACCCAGGATCATTTAAATCATTCCCATTGCTATTCCCACTTCCAGATCCGCCACTTCCAGCTCCAAAAAACAACCTCTCTTCCGCCATAGCTAACGAGCTACTGACAGGCTGGCCGCAGATATTGCTATTCGCAGCTGTTAGATTAGCCACTGACGACGATGACGATGACGACGAGGAAGCGAGGAGGAGATTGTTGCTGCTGATGTTGGTGGGACTGTATGCAGCTGATGCTGCTGCTGTTGCAGCTGCTACGCTGCTACTAGTGTAGTTGTTCTGGTTGTTGCCTGAGCTTGATCTCCTCCTTGTTAATTGAATAAACAATTAATTGATTAGTTAGAATGAATGATTAGTTGATTGACTGATTGGTTGGCTAATGATTCAAGTAAATGATGGATTAATTGAACGGTGAAATGATCAACTGAACGCAAGGATAGAAACAAAGAATAAATAAATACCTGCTACTTGCACAAGAACCCGTGTTGGGAGAATTAATCTGACAAGCGTTCCTCCTAGCTCTCTTCCTCGGAATATTATCTACTCCCGTCAAATTATTACCACCTCCAGCACTGGACCCCTCCCCTAAAAATTCAAATCCCTGATTATTGGCAAATCCGGCACTGCTGTTGTTGTTGACTAAAGGAGCTGTGCTATTATTAGCAGATTGGGAAGTTCCACTTGTCTCAAGTTCGCCTGGTGCTGATGGAAATTTTCTTTTCAGGGCTCCAGATCCTGCACTAACTTTTTTCCCTAATTTAACTGCTCTTGTTTGTCGACTGTTACTGCTGCTGGCTGTAGTAGCTGTTTTAACTTTTCGCTTTTTACCTGCAACTTTATTAAGGATTTTTGATGATGATGATGAGGAAGAGGATGACGATGAAGATGATGTGGATGATGAAGTTGTAGATGATGTAGCAGAAGCGCGTTGCTGTCTGGTTTGTTTGGATGGAGTTGTGGTGGAGGAATTTTTGAGACTCTTTTTTGTTTTGATTTGTCGTTTTTTCTTCTGCTTACCTTGTTGTCGCCGTTTGCCAAATGCAACTGAATTCGTGCGTTTTCGTTTTTGCTGTCTAACTGATGACGACGATGACGTCAACGAGGAGGATGATGACGTCGACGATGAAGAAGAGGAAGACGTCGAAGAGAGCTCCTGTCTACTTCTTTTAGACTTTGAAATTGAGACTGTACAATAGAGGGATGGTGAGCAGTGTTAAATTTGCAGATGTATCACAAAAGTATATTAGTAGTTTTTAAGTGTGTGTGTGTGTCTGTATGTGTCTGTGGGTCTGTGTGTGTGCGTAAAAACGGTATATACATTATAACAACTAATTCACACAATTATTAATTGATAACAATAATTAATTGATAACTGATAATTTAAACTAAGAATTAAAAAATTTACCAGTTTTAGCTGCTCTGCCAAGACCACTGCAACTGGCAACCAAGTTGTTAGTACTATTGGCTACAACACTATTATTATTATTAGTAGTAGTAGTAGTAGCAGTAGTAATAGTAGTAGTAGCAGCAGTACTATTCGATGTTCTCTTTCGACTAGCAGGGCCCAACCCTAGTAAGAGCTGTTGATTAGGGTTGGATCTTAGTGAAGATTTGTTGATGCTGCTGCTGCTGTTGTCCAATGATAATGTCCCTCTGACAGTTTTGTTGTTGTTGTTGTAGCTGGGGCTGTTGTGATTATTGGTACTAATACTATTATTATTGTTATTATTGTTATTGGGGGTATTGCTGTGACCTTTGTGAATGTTCCTATAATTAATATAGTTTTTTTAGCTAGTGTATGCTGTGATTGCTGCTGTTGTAGAAAGACATGTGCATATGTTGTTGGCCTATATGTACGTTTGCTTAAAAGAAAAAAATAATAAATACACAGATGAGTTAATAAATCATCAAATGTATGTATAAGAAAACAACAGCACCAGCAATAACAGCATAAGATCTGATCCAACCAATCAATCTTATACCTGTTAAATTGTTCTTCTCCCTCTGCCAAAATACCCGACAATGATGACGAGGATGAAGATGATGACGAAGATGGTGATCTATTCCTCTGAGATAACGTCGACTTTTTTGGCCTGGACGTCTTCCTAACTCGACCAGATTGGCCGGTCAAATTAGTATCAGAGGTTGTTGTTGTGGTGGTGAGTTTTTTTCTGCTGGAGGAGTGAGCAACGATGGTTGTGGACTTTACTGCTGCTTTTTTCTTCTGAGGTTTATTTTTTAGCAACTGATTGGTCGAGGGAGAGGTGGTGTCTTTTGGGACCTTGCAAGATCTCTGCTGTCGATCGGTCGATGATGATTGAGATCCTTTCCTTGTGCTGGTTGGTGTTGTTTTGAAATGAATGATGGATGTTATTTTTGACTTTAAAAAGATTTTTTTTAATTTAAATAAATAGATAATTAATTTAATATTAAATTTTCTAAAAATTTAAATAAACAGAAGAATTGAAAAAAGTTATTTAAATAAAACAATGAACTCTTTTGTCTAGTCTATACTTCTACAGATTGAGTAACACCACGTAAATAGCTAACACAATCTCCACTCTAAAGAATTTTGAAATTTATGGTTTAGTCAAAAAATTTAAGTGATGAAATGATGAGAAAAAAAATGATCTGACTAACTTCAATTTGGAAGTTGATGGCAAATTATTATTATTATCTTCTGGTGAGACACTCGTCCGCTGCCTTGTAGTACCACTTATTCGATGTTTTTCTTTCGAAGGCTGAGTACTCTTATGATGATCGGCCATAGGTTAAGTGTCAAGCACGCATGAGTGCATACTAGTGCTAAGGCTAATCTTTCAATTTAGGAAATAGTGAACCAAGATACTGTGAAGTAAGTTAAATTAGTGAAACATCAATTTTTTTCTAATAGATATACAAAAATGTCAATTTACAGAATTTTCTTAAATCCAAAAGTTAATTAGTGAGCACTGAAAGAAAGGAATTTTTGTCATTTTTACTCATAATAAAGAAATCTAATGTAAACTAATTAAAATTTTGAAATCCAGCACTAAAATTAGTGAGACATTTGTTTGTTAAGCATGAACTTAAAAGTCAATTCTGCAACTTTTCATTAAAATGTTAAAAAGACGAAAAATATGCAGAAACGAAAACAATATTTAATTAATTCTTAGAACAAAATAAATATTTTTAGAAAAATTTATTTAATATTTTGTTAGAACTGGCCAAGGATGAATGAGACTTTATTTTTATAGTGGTTTTGATTTGCATTCGTCACAAACAAACGAAATTAAATAGTCGCAAACTCATTAAGAAATTTATCAAAAGAACCAATTTTAGGCGGCCACAATGCAATTAGGGAAAAATTAGAAACTCAAAATTAAAAATATTTAAACAAAAAAACTTTAAATGGACTAACTTGAGTAAAAAAATGAAATTAATTCCAACAGGATGATAAAGCGAACAATAATGAATGAAATGAATTTAGTAATGTAACGTAACGATTTCGCAGAAATAAAATCAAGCTATAATTGGTTATAAATGGCTTAATTTTTACTTTTATATTTAAAAAATAACATATATATAAACAAAATTTATTCTAGAAAACAATATTTAAAGTTTAATTCAATCAATTCAATCAAAGTGTATTTTTATGCGGAGTTTCGAGTAGGTGTGATTGCAACTTTATTTCATTATAACATTTTAAACTTGAAAAAACACATTTTTTCTTTAAAAGTATAAAATTTATTAACAAAAAATTGTTTTGCTTTTAGCACAAATAACTTGTCCCAAAATATATATATTAACGATTTTACGAATTCTATCCATGGATATGTATCTATGATACTATCAATTCTATTATTTAACTAATTGTTATCGATATCTATGCTCTAATAACCTCTTTCACTTTTATCCGTTGTTAAACACTTGGTCAGCCTTTCAACATATGCACATTTGTTGCATAATTAACAAGCTAAACGATTAGAGAGTGGCCGTCATTTTTATATAAAATAATTCTGATGACATTTCGCGGTAATGGAAAAGGACAAGAAAGGGCCAAAGGGAGCCAGCAAAACAAACTCGAAACGGTAATTTATTTTTGTTGTAAATAATAGTAATTTTTTAGAGGGTTTTTTTAAGAAGCTTTTAAAATTTAAAAATCGTAGATATGTAAGTCCTAACTGACGGATCGTAAAATCCGTGCCAAACTGAAACCGTGCAGTGATGGCAACATGATTTAGACATCAAAATCTTTATTTTGATCTATAAAAAAATTTATTCAAGCTTGGGGAAATAAGAATTCAATAAGATTAAAAAAGCCATGTGTCTATTTTTAGTTTTTACATGTTTTAATTTAAAAAAGGATTTAATTTAATTTTTTATATTTTATTGCTTGACATCACATTGATTTTTAAAATTATTAAATAAAATGGGTGTGAACTCAAAAAAAATTAAGTTAGACAAATTTTACTGTGTTCTTGGTGGTTCATTCGTTATTTCTATCTAATTTTCTCAATGGTTGAATGGATTTTTTATTTTAAATAATATTTTAAATAATATTTTATAATTAAATAGTAATAAATAAATAATTATCTTAAATAATATTTGAAATATTGTTTCCTGTCCGCCAATTAATTATTTATTTATTTATTCAGTGTATCCGATGACGAGGATTGGACTGAGCGGCAAGAGGCATCGTCCTTGAAGAACGAACGAACAAAAAAGGGAAAGAAAGGAAGAAAAAGGTTTTGACTTACTGGCAGATTGATTGGCTGATTGACAGATTGGGGTCCAGTTGATTGATTGTCTGCTTATCTTTCTTTGCATGATTCCCACTAAGATTATTAATATATCTCAGCATCATCACCAGCTTCATCACATAATTTTTCTGAGATCACTATTATAAATCATCATCATTATTTTTTTATTATCATCATTATCATCGCCACTACTTCAGAGATAGTTCGACAGAAAGTGGAGGAAGTAAGCCAGCAGTTACTGATAATGATATCGATTTGAAAAGTAAAAAAGGCAAGAAAGGAGCTCAAAATAGGTTACTATTTTTATTATTATTATTATCATCATCATCATTGTCAACACTAACAATCATCACCACAGAGAACATCGTCACCAACGACATCATCATCGTCGACATCATCATCAACATTAACAACAACATCATCATCATCATCATTTTTTTTAACTAGGGATAGTAACACCACTACCACTACTAATACTACTACTACTGCTACTGGAAGTGGAGGAGCCAAGCAGCTGCAACAGCAGCAAGCTAAAGCTAATAAAGCCCAGCAGGTAATAATGATGATATGACGTCAAGGACGATGATGATTATGACGACTGAATGATGAGGATAATTATTATTATTATTTTATTTATTATAATTATGAACGCTGATGTGCTATTATTTCCATCAATCCATCAGAAGAAAAAGGGTAAAAAGAATAAAGATGATGATGATGATGATAACGATGGTGGCGGTGATGATGATGATGATGATGATGTGGTTGCTCCAAGCAGTAGCAACAAAAAAGCATTCTCTACTGGTTTCGCCATGCTGAAGATCGACAGTGAGGAAGATGATAACGTGAGTGAGGATGATGATGATGATGAAAGTGGAAGTGATGATGATGATGATGATGAAGGTGGGGGTGATGAAAGTAGGGGTGATGATGATGATGAGGTTTTAAACTTTTTAAATTTACAAAACTAGCATTATAACCACCACCACCACCCTCTTCATCAACAGAGCAACAATTCCAACAAAAGTGATGAAGATGACGACGACGATGGTGACAAAAACTCTAAAAAGAAACTACCTCCCCCACCACCAGCAGCAGCAGCAGTTACTGATAAAAAACAAAATAAAAAGCAAAATAAAAAACAAAGCAAGAAAAATCGAAACGACGAGGACAGTGAAGACTTTGATGCTATTCTTGCGCAATATGGAGCAGCAAGCAGCAATGATAAAAATTCAGCTGCTGATAGGAAGAAGGAGAAAAAGAATAAAAAGGTTTTTTGTATTTTTGATATTTCTGGTTCTAATTGCTGCTCATTTGGTTGCTATCTGTAATATTTTATTTTTTTATTTTTATCATAGAAAGGGAAGCAGAATGACGTCGATGATGATGTTGTTGATGAGAAGGTTATAGTAGGAAGTGATGATCTGCCAGCTGCTGAGGACGTAAAACAGCAGCTACAGCAACAACAGCAGCTACAACAGCCAAAATATGAAATCACAAGTGATATGACGGCTGATGAAATAGCAAAACTCGTTGAGCAAATGGCCATGGAGGATGACGATGACGACGACGATGATGAGAAAGATAAAAAGAAGAAGAAGAAAGAGAAAAAACAGAAGCAACCAGAAACACAGAAGCCATCACAGCAACAAAAATCATCACAACAGAAACAGGATGGCGGTGTCGATGATGATAATGATGATATGAGTGGTGATGATGATGATGGTAGTGGTGATGATGATGATGGTACTTTGACCGTGAAGACAGCTGCACAGAAGAGGAAAGAGAAGAAAGAGAAACAAAAGATGGAAAGAATGAAGAAATCAGAGGTTGTTGATGGATGAGTAATGATTTGTTCTTTGGTTGGCTGGCTGGCTGGTTGGTTGATTGACTGATTCGTTCGAGGGGTTGGTTGATTGAATGGTTGAATCAATCCTTCATTCTGGATGAATGAAGGATTGATTGAATGAAATGATATTTTATTTCTTCAACACATCTCTTTCTTTCAGAAACAGCCTGAAAAACTCAAACAACAACAACAAACGACAACAACAACAGCAGCAACAACAACCTCTTCTGCAACAACCACAACTAAATCATCATCAACCACAACAACATCATTATCTTCCAACAAAAATCTCGTGGCCGACACCAATGCTGACAAAACTCTTGCAACCAAAGACAGTGAAAAAGTTAAAATCACCCCAGATTTAAAAACAACAGCAACAACAACAGAAGCTGCTGCCCTTAAAAGCAAAGAAGATATAGTTAGTAGCGAGGCCGCTGGACCTGCTGATAATGATGACGGTGCTGCTGATGATGATGCCTTGAGTAAGAAATCCGGAAAGAAAGATAAAAAGAAGAAGAAGGGAGAAGATAAGGAGAAAGAGAAGAAACCTTCAAAGATGGTCGGTGGTCTGCAAGTTCATCTAAATGAAATTTTAATAAATTAACATATTTGAACTTCATTTATTACTTAATTTATTGACATTCAAGGTCAAAGGAATCTTGGAGGCCCAGAAGTTGCTGAAGGCTGAGGAGGAAAGATTGAAGAAAGAAGAGGAGGAGAGGATAAGAAAGGAAGAGGAGGCGATAAGATTGAAAGAAGAGAGAGTAGGTGATGGTTGGTTGGTTGGTTGGTTGGTTGGTTGGTTGGTTGGTTGGTTGGTTGGTTGGTTGGTTGGTTGGTTAGTTGGATGGTTGGTTGGTTGGTTGGTTGGATGGTTGGTTTGTTGGTTGGTTGGATGGTTGGTTGGTTGGTTGGATGGTTTTATAATGATGGAAGTGAATGTTGTTGTTGTCTACTTTGTTGCTGGTGATATCATTGGTCTTTTGTTACCGAACTTAACACAACCATCATCATTTCATCGCCATCATCATTGCTACCACTATCAGGAGAGATTGGAGAAAGAGAGGAAAGAGAGAAAGAAGCAGAAAGAAAAAGAAAGAATACAAAGGTTGAAAGCTGAAGGGAAATTTTTGACCGACAAGCAGAAGGAAGATAGGAAAAGGGCTCAGCAGCTGCTCGAAGCTATGAGGGCGAAAGGTTATGATGATGATGTTTGGAATGGTGGTGGTAGTAATGGCGGTGATTAGGGTGATTATAGCTGTGGTGAATTTTATTATGATGATTTATGGCAGTAATGATGTGGATAGTTTAACTCGTTCACTCCACCATTCATTCGCTTATCCGTCAATTCATTCATTCATTCATTCATTCCCAGGAGTTGAAGTTCCTCAGATAGGCGGCAGTGGAAACGCAGCAGCTGCTGCTCAGGTGGAAAAGCCCAAACGAGTTATTTATAGTAGTAAGCCTAAGAAGAAGCCACAACCGCAGAATGCTGAGACTGCTAGCTTAGGTAAGATGGTGGTGGTTATTGCTGTGATGATCGTGATTGGTGTGATGAAGATTACGGTTGCACTGTACTGATGGCTTTGGTGATGATGATAATGGTGACGCTGATAATGATGATTATTATAAGTTTTATTATGATTTATTATGATTTAATAATATAATTCCCCCTTTTGAATTTTTCAATTTCATTCACAAGCGTCAGAGCCAAGTCCCGAAATGAAAACCCAACCTGATCTGAAAACTGAAACCTCGGAAAAACTTAGTAGCATCAGCAACGGCGTGCATTCTAAAAATAGTCTAACGGAACTTCCAAACGCTGAAAACGAAACTACTGAGTTTCCCGTCAGAGAAAAACAGGAGGAAGAAGATGAAGAGGAGGAGGAGGAAGAGGAAGAAGAGGAAGATGACGTTAAAGATAATTGGGATGATGAGTCGAGTAGTGATGATGATGGCGAAGATGATAGTGCTGATAACGATGCCGAAGAGAAAAAGAAAGCTCTAGAAGCTAGCAAGGATAATAAAAAGTTGAAACCTGGTGTAGTTAAAGCAGCCACTGCTAAAGGTAATCATGATGGGAGTGTTTGTGACGATGTTTTTAGCAGTGGTGATGATTGCCGTGTTGTTTGTTATCATTTCGTCATCATCGTCACATTAGTTAGCTTAATGACAAACTCTCTCTCATACAGCGGCGACAACATCCACAGCAGCTGCTGCCACAAAAACGTCATCAACAACGTCAGCAGCGACAACAACATCAGCTAAAAATCATCATCAGCACAATAATAAAGTCACTCATCACCGACCACAACAACAAAAAGCTCGCAAACCATCTCAGAGCCACGACTCCACTGCTGCTGATGATGATGACGACGAAGAAGAAGATGATGATGATGAGAGTAGTGATGATGATGATGATGATGATGATAAGAGTGATCATAGAACTGCTCAGGAAAAAGCCAGAGATAAGGCTTTAGCTAGGATCAAGGTTCTGATGATGATGATGATGATTGTCTTTCATTCATTCATTCATTCATCTCAGTTAATCGCTGTCAGTCATTATCATCCTCTCTTCACTAACTCTCCGTCACCATCTCATAAATTTTAACCACTCTCTCCTCCATTCCCTCACATTCTCACCATCTCTCCCTTTCATCCTCCAGAAGCGGAAGGAAATGGCGGAGAGTAAAAGAAGCGTGGATCGCCTGAGAGCGCCCGTCGTTTGCGTATTGGGCCACGTCGATACCGGGAAAACAAAGATACTGGATAAGGTAGTGGTGATAATTTAATTAATGACATATCGTTAACTTTCGGACATATCATCAACACGCACACACTCACCACAGAGAGAGAGAGAGAGAGAGAGAGAGAGAGAGAGAGAGAGAGAGAGAGAGAGAGAGAGAGAGAGAGAGAGAGAGAGAGTAATGCCAAGCACCTTAACCATAATATTGTTATAATATTAATTGTGAATAATAATTTTTTTTAATTATAGTTAAGACGTACGAACGTACAAGATGGCGAGGCTGGTGGTATCACCCAACAGATTGGCGCCACTAATGTACCACACGAGGCCCTTATGCAACAGACTAAAATGTGCAAAGACGTAAGTGATGATTCTGGCGATAATGACTATAATTATATAATAATATATTATATAATATAATTATAATAATAAGATAATGCTGATGATATGATGACGCTGGTGATAATTATGAATATGATGTCATTATCACCCAATTCAGTTACAAGTTAAAATACCTGGCCTTCTGATAATTGATACACCTGGCCACGAATCTTTCAGGTAGGATGGGTTGATTGGTTGGTTGAGTGATTAGTTGATTGATTGATTGGTTGGTTGATTGATTGATTAGTACTTAATACTCCAGTTGGTCAGTCAATATCGTTCAGCTGTTTCTTTTTTGTTAGTCAAATGATTATTATTCATTCGGTAACACTGATATACAACACTGTGTAGGTGTATGTAAATAACATCTTTATTTTTTATATTTTACAACACATCTCTGTTTTCACTAACCCCTGATCGTACCCCAGTAACTTGAGAACCAGAGGGTCATCACTGTGTGACATCGCCATATTGGTTGTTGACATTATGCACGGGTTGGAACCGCAGACGATCGAATCTATAAACATCTTGAAACAGAGAAAGACCCCATTCGTTGTGGCCCTCAATAAAGTAGGGATGTGCTTGCTTTTGGATTGTACTTGAGCGCTGGTTGAAATGGTCTTGTTTGTTTGTGCGTGTGTGCGTGTGTTTGGTTCAAACTTTAATTGTTAACCAATGTTCTTATCGATCGATCAATCATTCAAGGTGGCTGTTCACAATAAGTTGAACGTAGTCTCTTTAATCTTGATCAGATGCGAATAAAATATTTTATCGTAACCAATCAGATCGATCGCTTGTTTGGCTGGATAACCAATCCGCATTCAGATGTCACCAACCTGCTGAAGAAGCAGAAGCAAAATACGAAGCTGGAGTTCGATGAGAGGACCAGTCACGTGATTGTTCAGTTTGCCGAACAGGTCAGTTAGCCTTGCATAAAGTTTATGACGCACACGTACGCGAAACGTTCACAGTGTGTACATTCGCGCCTATCTGTATATGAGCCCTCCATGTATGTGTATATGTGTGTGTGTGTTTCAGAGTGGATGTAATTTTTGGATATTTGTAAACTTTAGTATGAAATTACTTGCCAGGGTTTGAATGCACGCCTTTTCTACGAGAACAAAAATCCTCGCGAGTACATCTCTCTCGTTCCCACGTCCGCCATGACGGGGGATGGAATTGGAAACCTAATTACACTAATTTGCGAACTAACTCAGACACTGTTAGTGAAGAGACTTACGTTTACCGAGGAGCTGCAGGCTACTGTTATGGAGGTGAGTGAATGAATGAATGAGTGGAAGAGTGAATGAATAAGAAGATTAGGTTGAATGAACGAGTAATTTAACGGACGTGTGTGAGTTAAATATATTGGTGCATTCTTATTTCAATTACGAACAAATTAGGTGAAGGCCATACCAGGGCACGGCACCACCATTGACGTCATCTTAGTGAATGGCCGGTTAAAAACCGGAAGTACTATTATCGTGGCCGGCCAGGATGGGCCAATAGTAACGCAGATAAGGTCGTTACTCATGCCACAGCCCATGCACGAACTCAGGGTCAAGGTTGTTGTCAGAAGGGGCTTGTTTTTTACTGCTTTTATTACTGTTTATGTATTTAAGTGAATAATTTATCAACTTTTGTATAATTTATTTCATCTTATTGTGATTATATTTTAACGTTTTCAGAGCCAGTTTGAGTCTCACAAGGAAGTCTTGGCGGCACAAGGTTGCAAAATTGCTGCCAAAGATCTTGAAAAGGCGCTAGCCGGCCTGCCCTTGTATGTGGCTGAACAATCAGATGAAGAAGATATATTTAAGGTGAGTTCTTATTGGTCGGTTTGTTTGCGGTGGCTAATCGTGACTGGTTGTCGGTGGAGATCAGCGATGTGATTGAATGGTGAAGTTGAATGACTTAATTGATAACTGTTAGTAATAATTTCGATGATTTAATAGTACACACACACGTTTAGACGGCATTTTCCCCGAGATCGGGGGTTGCCGCTTGGCTACCTATAATGAAACCGAAATACCCCTCGACTCCATCCACATGATTTAATAGTAGTCAGCCTTACAAGCAAACGACGACAGGCACCTACGCATGCTCGTAACCACACACACACATCACAAACATCAACACACACGCACACTCACCAACGCAGGAAGAACTCTCGCAGATGTTGAAAGACGTCCTGAGCGACGTAAAAGTCTCGGACAAGGGGGTGTACGTGCAGGCATCGACCCTCGGCTCTCTGGAGGCCCTCCTAACCTTCCTAAAAACATCTGAAATCCCCTACGCGGGCATAAACATCGGTCCAGTACACAAGCGCGACATCATGAAGGCTTCGGTGATGCTGGAGCACGATCCGCAGTACGCCTGCGTTCTGGCTTTCGACGTTAAGATAGAGAAGGAGGCCCAGGAGATGGCGGACAGCATGGCAATCAGGATTTTCTCGGCAGACATCATCTACCATCTCTTTGATAAGTTCATGGCCTACAGGGATGAGTTTAAGAAACAGAAGAGGGAGGAGTTTAAACATATTGCCGTGTTCCCTTGCAAGGTTGGTCGCCTTTGATTGGTCGCTTGGATGAGTGGGCTGATTGCTTTGATAGATGATTGGTTAGAAGATGGATTTGTTGTTCACTACTTTTTATTTCAAAATTTACTCAAGTATCTAATTTCTTTCCCAGCTACGCATCCTACCCGAGCACATCTTCAACACGAGGGATCCCATTGTGGTCGGCGTGACTGTGGAGGCTGGCTTTGTGAAGGAGGGCACTATCCTCTGTGTACCTAGTAAAGAGGTTCGTTGGTTGCCTGGCTGGGATTGGTTTGTCGGCTCTCTTCGTTGATGTGTTTGATGGTGTAATGAATGGATAGCTGCATGTAATTTTTGTATTGTAATTTCAATCACACGAATCAATTATGATTTTAATTAATTAGCCAATAAAAAATTCAACATACAAAACTTGACCAATCACAGTTCCTAGATGTAGGTCGAGTCAGCAGTATCGAGATTAACCACAAGGTCATTGAGAAGGCCACGAAAGGTCAAGAAGTGTGCTTAAAGATTGACAGCATACCTGGCGAGGCGCCGAAACTCTACGGCAGACATTTTGATAATACTGACTTACTCGTTAGCAAGGTCAAATTCTCATTGGCTGGCTGGTGGAAAATGAACTGTGATTGGATATCCGCGTATGTGTGCCCGTGCAAAGTTCTTGCAACGAATGACTGGTTGTTTGTGAGTGTATATACGAGGTGGGATGTGATTGCCGGGCATATGTAAACTTTTTGATGGCATAGAATAATTTGTAGGAAAATTTTTGCATTCGGACATCCATCCTGACGACAACCACCGGTTAGAAGCGGTGGGTCTAGTCTTTCACTCAATAGCACGCAAAGCAGCGTGGATGCAGTTTTAAGTCATGCCCCGGACGTATAACTATATAGTTATACGAATTTAACCGAATTTAACACTATATAATAATATATAATCAATAACTCTACATAACTATATATAAATTTATATAACCGAATTTAACACTATATATTAATATATAATCAATAACTCTACATTACTATATATAAATCTATATAACCGTATATAACACTATATAATAATATATAATCAATAACTCTACATTACTATATATAAATCTATATAACCGTATATAACACTATATAATAATATATAATCAATAACTCTTCATAACTATATATAAATCTATATAACCGTATATAACACTATAATAATATATAATAAATAACTCTTCATAACTATATATAAATCTATATAACCGTATATAACACTATAATAATATATAATAAATAACTATATATAAATCTATATAATCTATATAACACTATAATAATATATAATAAATAACTCTACATAAATAACTATATATAACTATATATAAATCTATATAACCGTATATAACACTATATAATAATATATAACCAATAGATCTACATAACTATATATAAATCTATATAACCGTATATAACATATATAATAATATATAATCAATAACTCTACATTACTATATATAAATCTATATAACCGTATATAACACTATATAATAATATATAATCAATAACTCTACATTACTATATATAAATCTATATAACCGTATATAACACTATATAATAATATATAACCAATATCTCTACATAACTATATATAAAAATCTTTAAAACCGTATATAACACTATATAATAATATATAGTCAATAAATCTACATAACTATATATAAATCTATATAACCGTATATAACATTATATAATAATATATATTCAATAACTCTACATAACTATATATAAATCTATATAACCGTATATAACACTATATAATAATATATAACCAATAACTCTACATAACTATATATAAATCTTTATAACCGTATATAACACTATATAATAATATATAACCAATAACTCTACATAACTATATAAATCTATATAACCGTATATAACACTATATAATAATATATAACCAATAACTCTACATAACTATATATATATCTACATAACCTTATATAACACTTTATACTAATATATAATCCTGATGTGTTTGTTTGATTAATTAATCAATTGTTAAATTATTCAACCAATCAGATAAGCCGACAGTCGATCGACGTTGTGAAGAGTTGGTTCAGAGAGGAGATGTCCAAATCGGATTGGCAGTTAATTATGGAACTCAAGAAGACATTCGAAATTTTATAATAATAATAATTTTATTATATATATATATATATTTATAAAATATTAATTAATTAATTATGACATAAAATATATTATAATTATTATATTTTAATTATTATTAAATGTATTTCCTTGAAATTGTGTTTTTGGTATTTCACTAATTATTTTATTAAAATTTTTATTTTACTCCAGGAAAGTGTACGAGTATAAGTAGATAAATAATAATAAATTATAATAGTAATCGTCAATCAATAATTATTAAAATATAATAATTATTAATTTTATTAAAAAAAATTGATTTTAAATCTGTTGTTACTATTCAGATGAGTGTTTTATATTCGTAAATTTATAAATAGCTAAACGAAGGAATAGATAGTTGGGTTTTCTTCCTAATGTCGAACTTTCCAAACTTAATAGGGGTGGTCTAAAATCTGTAATACAATATACATCATTGTTGTTGTTAATCGTCTTCTCATTCAAATCTGGCTGGGGCTAAAATTAGAACCGATAATGACGTCATTATTTATTAAACTTGATACTGGGGAACCACAGATAGATTAACTGTATTTTATCTCTATACAAAAATCCTCTGAACAAAACGTCATCTATTAAAAGTTTACAATGAGGCAAGTGCTATGAGCACGAAGTTGGTGTTCAAATCATGGATATCCATGGTTCAAATGCTATATATATAGTTCAATTCCTGTACTAAAACCTTGACGAGGATACTGAAAACCACTCTTCTACTTTTAAGACAACCGGCATTTTTTTCATTACTTATTTAAAAGCTGAAAAAGTAACAGAAATAAAATTCGTCAAGACATTGTTTGTTATTTTTTCAGAGGGGTAATGGAGGCAATATTGTTATATGACACACACATTCAATATATCCTAATATTTAGTTAAGCTGTACATACAAATACGTAATGCAAAACATTTAATTTAAGTTAATAGACAGCACAACTTAAAATAGGCTGCAACCACGAAGAGAGAGAGAGAGAGAGAGAGAGAGAAAGAAAATGATGATATTGTTAAAGTTTGATATATGTTTGGTTAGTAACAAGTTGACAGCCGGAAGAACAAACAGAAGTCGATAACATGCGGGAGTGTAAATTAGTGAGATTCAATTCAATCGACATATAAGTAACGTACAACATCAACTTATGTTTCATATTGCTCGTTAACTTATAAACCTGAAAATGTACAATAAAGACGAAACCAATCCAAGGTTAAGTAAACTCTCATTATTTTACAATCTGATAAGCAGCAGTTTAACAAAAACCAATATAAAATAGTGGAGAACCAATGTAACATTATGACCAAATGGTTCATCCGTCGCGGTTTATACATATCGTCCTTATACACAGTGGCATACACACAGCCTTTTTTACACTATTCGATCATGATAACAATTTGTTTGCTTATGAAATAAACAGCATAAATAGATCAAAATTGATTGATTGATTGATTGATTGATTGATTGATTGATTGATTGATTGATTGATTGATTGATTGATTGATTGATTGATTGATTGATTGATTGATTGATTGATTGATTGATTGATTGATTGATTGATTGATTGATTGATTGATTGATTGATTGATTGATCAACCAATCGACCAATCAATGAACCAAATTGAATAAACCAAATAAACGAAAATAAAATGTTTGCAAGGCTTGTTCAAACTCGAACAAACACTTAACCGTACAGATCTACAAACAATTTCGAGATTTTAGTAAAGAAAGAAAAACACAATAGTTGCTTTTATTTGAATCCATCCAAAAATGAAAAGTGACGGTTAATTAAAATTTAAAAAAATTAATTTTTTTTATATTCGTATTTTAAACAAATATAACAAAATATTGACCGACAAAAAATAATTAATATCCATTAATATTATTATACACACTCCTTAGTAGTTCTCGAAGAATGATTCAAGTAACAATAACATTTAGTAAGAACAGTTCACAGCATATCATAACGACTAAATCAACATACCAAAAAGAAATTATTTATACATGCATATATACAAAGTAAATCAAGAAATATCCAAAAATTATACAACCAAATTAAAAAAAACTAGAAACCAGTCAACTTTTAATAAATAAATAAATAGACATTATTAAAAAGATTGTTCAAAAAGGTAAAATTTAAAGTGAATGTAGTTTGTTTTGTTGGTGTGGTGCTGTGAAGCGAAAACAAACACATCACAAAAACTAGTCAGAAGTCGCAAGAATAGTAGTCAGTCACCTACCTACAATTAAATTACTCTCAAGGCCCTAGCTTACTTATAATCATTAACTCAACTCACCTAGCTACAAATTTGTATTTTTACGTTTTAGGAATTTTACATGTTTCATGTATTTTATTTTACATATTTTAGCGTTTTTATTTTACTAGAAACTTTTTAACAAATATTAAGCCCTAGCCTACCTACGATTGTTCAACTCATCTCAATCCCTAACTTACCTATGAATTAAATTAAGTCCGGTAAAGAAAATAGAAAGTTGAAGAGAAACATAACAACAACGACACCAAATGAATGGATGTTGTGTATGTGTGTGTTGTATTGATGTGTGTGTGTGTAAATGTGCGGGCGTGTACTCTCCAGAAACTTCTTCACGCACTACGGTCGAACTTCCATTGCACCATTAATATTTTCTTCGAATTGTCATCGGAACGATCATCATGAGACCACCATCTGAAACGTGCTGACGCCCACCACAGCCCACCTCTCATCATTCTGTAGACAAGTTTTTTTTATTAACGTAGTAGTAAATCAAGGAACAAATAAACGAACGAATAAATGGTTAGGTGAATGAATGAATGATTGGTTGAATGAATGAATTAACTAATTAATTAACCAATCAATGATTTAATGAATGAATAGAATAAATCAATGAATCAATTGATGGAGGAATAATTTGAAAGATAGTGATAAAAAGAATGAATGAATGAGAAAAATTAAAATAACGAAACTAAACCATACATCAAAAACCGTCGTTGTTGTTTTCTTCGAATTGTCATCGGAACGATCATCATGAGACCACCATCTGAAACGTGCTGACGCCCACCACAGCCCACCTCTTATCATTCTGTAGACAAGTTTTTTTTATTAACTTAGTAGTAAATCAAGGAACAAAGAAACGAACGAATAAATGATAAACTGAATAATTAAATAATTGGTTAAAAGAATGAATAGAATGAATTAACGTCAATTAATGGAAGAATAATTTGAAATGAGAAAAATAAAAAAAACGAAACTAAACCTTACTTCAAAAATCGTCGTTACTGTAATCCATTGCACCGACCACCACATTCAGGTCGGCACACATGATTTCATCCGAACTTCTGATTGTCAGTCGAACAGCCAACGCGCTGATTCTTCCTACACCACCATCATCATACGTAAATCATCATGAGACAACCATCTGAAACGTGCTGACTCCCACCACTGCCCACCTCTCATCATTCTGTAGACAAATTTTTTTTATTAGCGTAGTAGTAAATGAATGTTAGAATCTTAGGAGCAAAAAATTATAAAATGGAAACAATGGCAAATAAATAATATTTTAAAATAATAAAGTGATTAAAATGTAAAAAAAACTTACCGTCGTCCATTCGACAAAGGCAGAATGTTGAATGCGGTTCGGTTCCTACGTTGTCCTCCATAACTGGTGCCAGTCCTCCTCGAGATTGTTGTTGAAACACAGCCCGAGGGATGGAAAAAGATAAAGAGAATATTCTCATCAGAAAGCTTAGCGGTGCCTGCATCTCAAATTGCTTAATAAAAATAATCCTATCTACCTATTCAAATACCTTAGCTAATCTATATTAAATTGTTAATGGTACGATAGTCGAAAGTCCTCCTTCATTCTCCCTCCTTGCACAGAGGCTCACCGACAGCCAGGGCACCGGATAGTAAACCATTGCCGTGCGGATAGTAGACTATTGCCGTGCGGATAGTAAACCATTTGCCGTCCGGAAGCCGTGCGGGTAGTAGACTATGGCCGTGCCGCATTGTAAATCATTACCGTGCAGATAGTAAACCATTGCCGTCCGGATAGTAAACCATTGCCGGTTCACCACTGGCCACCAAGGCTTACCTCTGACAAGAGACTTTGAAATCCAGAGTCAATCGGCTATCGTACCCTCAACTTACCTATTCATTACAATTAAGCCCTAGCTTACTTAAAATTACAAAACTCAAAAGCCCAATTCATTTAGCCAATCGGCACCCACCCCACCACCTACGTAATGCCTTGGGCTCCAACTTAGTAATAATAATATAAAACTTAAACCCTAAATCTATTAATGAGTATGTGTTACAACGTAGCCTTAACTTACCTATTCATTACATTACGGTCCTAGCTTACCTAAAATTACAAAACTCAAGAGCCCAATTCATTTAGCCAATCGGCGCCCACCCCACCACCTACGTAATGCCTTGGGCTCCAATCTAATAATAATAATGTAAAACTTATAATTAGCCTACCTATCGATACACTTACAGCGTTTTAATTAACATTACAAGATTGTTCCTAGAATTACATTATTGCCCTTAATTACCTATGAAATTAAATTACTCTCAACCTTAGTAATAATAAATTAGAATGTGTAATGAAAATAAAATTACGCTCAAAAACTAACATATGTGTTTATGTATGTATTTTTGTGTGTGTAATACGCTGATGCGTGTAATGTTGGTGCAAGAAAAAATAGAAGAGGTAAACTTACGCGCCTACCTATTCAACTACATTAGTGTTGGATACTTCCTATCTATCCTACCTACAGTTAAAATTATGCCTATCTAACCTACCTATATAGTTACTTAATGTAATTGTATGTGTATGTGTGTGCGTGTATGCATTCTTACTTAATGTTAAATTACAGAGAAAAACAGAGAAAAAAGAATAAAACGTATCCCAGCCCGGCGTGTCTTTGCCACTAAATGAATGAATGAACGTAGCCTGACATCTTCCATAATGAACTCCTCTGGAAACTTCAACCTAAATGAATAAAATAAAAAATTTTATTTATTTTTATTTAAATGAAAGTAAAAAAACGAGCCGCGGTGAAACCCGCCAGCCGCAACCGCCTGTAACTGGCAAAAAAAGGAACCGCAAAGAAACCGTAAAACGAACCCCAGCCAGGCGTGCATTGTTTGACACTGAATGAACGAACGTAGCGTGACATCACAACCGTTCTGATCTTCCACGATGAACTCCTTCGGAAGCTTCAACCTGAATGAATGAACCTGAAAGAACCTAAATGAACGGACAAATCTTATTTATTTAATTAATTTGAATGAAAATAGAGAAACGCAAAGAAGCCGACCGGTCGGCAAAGAAAAGAACCTCAAAGAAAGGTATCTATATAGGATTTACACTCTATATAACTCTATATAACTCTATATAACTCTATATAACTCTATATAACTCTATATAACTCTATATAACTCTATATAACTCTATATAACTCTATATAACTCTATATAACTCTATATAACTCTATATAACTCTATATAACTCTATATAACTCTATATAACTCTATATAACTCTATATAACTCTATATAACTCTATATAACTCTATATAACTCTATATAACTCTATATAACTCTATATAACTCTATATAACTCTATATAACTCTATATAACTCTATATAACTCTATATAACTCTATATAACTCTATATAACTCTATATAACTCTATATAACTCTATATAACTCTATATAACTCTATATAACTCTATATAACTCTATATAACTCTATATAACTCTATATAACTCTATATAACTCTATATAACTCTATATAACTCTATATAACCATGTATACTACCACATTCAATCAATAAAAATCCCACTAAACCCAGGAACCATCGCGTACCTGTTATATGTATGGTGTGAAACAAAACAAAAAAAAACAAAAAACACACCAAGTAGAGTAAAAGAATAGAAGTCCCTAACCTACCTATGTAACTAAATTAACTTATGCCCTAGCCTACCTATATAATAAATTAATCTCAATCTCACCTACCTATGTTTAATTAACTTAACTCAAGACTTATGAAGAAAGAGAAAAAGGAGTAAAACAGAACATAAAATACTACCATACAAACAAACATGATGTATGTATGTATGTAGGAGCAGCCGCTAAAGAACCCACCTAAAATATAAAAAAAATACAAAATACAAACACACAAACCACAGACATGCAAACTCTATATAACTCTATATAATAAAATAAATAAAAATAAAAATATTATAAAAAAAAATAAAAAAGATCAGACAGACTGCTTCAAGCGAGGCAGAATGCCTGATCTGATTTTCGTGTTATTTCAATTCCTATTTATACTCGTTTCAACCATACATTTTCATCATTTCAATCATTCACATCAGTAAAAAACTTATTTAATGTATGAACTACACTATTATACAGTCTTAACCACAATGCTAACCGTACTAAATTGACGTCATCGATCGAACGCCTTCGAAACTTTCTGATTGGCTGGTTGAATCTGCTATATTGCTTTTTATATAAACATATAATCTTATTAATTATATATATATATATATATATATATATATATATATGTGTGTGTGTGTGTGTATAATATAAATTCATTATAAAAGCAACAGCAGTCAGTGCTACATATTAGTTTGAGACCACACCTTGTTTAACATCCGATTCCAAGCCGTGTCGAGCCAAGCCAAGCCAAGCCAAGCTGAGCCATTATGCGTAGATTTGTAAGTGCTTTTTATTAAAATTTTCCTCGCTTTATATATGAATATCCCAATGTAACAAATTCTCCATCCTATTTTAAAAATTTTCATTGGTGCTTTTTAATCAGTCAGGTCACAATCATCATCATCGATATCGCGATGAAATCAAACTGAAAATTTTTTAAAACTTGTTGATAAAAGTAACTAATATATATATGTATGTATATGTATATATATATATATATATATTAATATATATATATATATATATATATATATATATATATATATATATATATAGAAAAATGTATATATTT